TTTATTTTGCCTTTTTTATAGGTTTTTAGGTCCTAAAAATCCGTTCCCTGCTTATAATAATTTATTTTTAGGAAATATCCAAAATATATACAAAAATATGCAAAATATATACAAAAATATGCAAATATGTATGCAAAAAATATGCAAACATGCAAAATATGTGAAAATATGCAAAACATAATAGTTCCCAATTAACTCACTTCCTTTTATAATGAGTTTCCACCCAGTAGTGCGTTTCTGTAACCTTGCGATACACCCAATATCGTAAAATATAACGCTTTTTCACTTTTATCGCAAGCGAGTGTTTCTGTAACTGTGGTGAGAAAAATATTGCGATAAATGATGCGATAAATATATCACTGGCTGTAAGTCAAGTGAAGTTTGGTTTTCGAAGCGAAAAGCGTCCAATATGAGCGAGGTCTGTATGATTTTAACTGATATTTTTATTAATTTCAAGCAAAAAAATTGTTTTTTTTACAGAAAAAGTACGGACGGGAAAAATAACAAAACAACAAAAATCCAAACTGTTGGAACTAATCAGGGCTAACACCCGTGTAGCCAGTGGCCAATTTGTGGGCGTCAGTGGCGCAAAAAATTCCCAACAAGTGTGGGACACGGTGAGGGGGGAGCTAAATGCATGCGGAGGTGCATGCAAGACCACTGAACAGTGGAAGAAGGTATGAACTGCGAAATATTTATTGGTTTAATGCCAAAGTATATTTTTGAATTATAAATGGTGAAGTGTTGGTCGGACTGGAAGGTTGCAGTGAAGAAGCAACAAAGTGCCTACAACAGATTCAAAAATTTTACCGGCAACCGTCCTGCCAGTGAAGGACCGAAACCATGTGAAGGTTTGGATGCGGAGGTATTGGAGTTATTTCCAGCAGCAGTCCTTGATGGAGATGGTAAAACAATTGAAGCCGGAGTCCATGAGGTATACTATTTTTTTTTTAATTTGTGCATGCATAAATATATTTGAAATACTTTAAATTTTTTGTATTTAAGGAGAACGTGGATGAGACACTCGAAGACGAGTACTTGGCTGAATATCTCATCGAAGACGAAATGCCAAGTACGTCTAAGGCCGCTTCTGCTGAGAAGAAGTTCAATATCTGCGCATCCAAATCGACATTTCATTCATCGCTGCTAGAAGTCAAAAAAGAACTGTCAGCTCAGAACGAAGTTCATATGAGAAAATTAGATGATATTATTAATATACTCAAGGAAATGAATTCAAATATTTTAACATTAATAAATAAAATACAATAAAGTGAGTAATTTTCTTAGACCTCATTATATTTAAGAAATAAAGCAAAGTTTATTACAAATATGCATGAGCGTCGCTTGGATCGAAGCTGAATTTTCAATATTTTCAAATCCTTATATTTCGAAAATTATTTAACCGATTTTCAAAATAGGGATATCGTTGGAAAAATATTGAAGTACCTTTCATTTGATATGTGTATCTGTATGTATATATAGTACATATATTTTTCGAGAAAAACAACGAAATTATGGCAACATTTTTAACACGCAATTTATTATATTAAAAGATACATTTATCAGAAAGGGCACAAAAATACCTTTAATTTGATATACACTGGCGGCAGAAATAATAGACTCGTCGTACTTTTAAGAATTTTGACTATATTTATTTAGTTTATTTTATGTTTAATATTTTTTCATAAAAGCTTAGGTAGTTATGCAACAAACATCATATAAATGCGCTTTTCAAACATTGAACAAAAATTAAAAAAATTTGACTAATTTTCACCAAATTTTCAAACTCTTTATTCAGAATTTTAGAAAAATTTTTGGTATGCAGTTTTGTAGCCCATTCAATTTTAGTATAATAAAGTGCAAGTTTCAATTAGCTAAAAAATACCGTTGCTTTTTAAGAATTTTTTTTTTTGCTGACGATGTCACGCATTTTTTCCCATACAAAGTGTACTCGACAATTTTTTTATATGGAAGGGAATGCCTAGCATCGTCATCAAACAAAATTTTCAAAAATTAACGGTATTTTCTAGTGACTTGAAATTTGCACTCTATTATACTAAAACTGGATGGGCTACAAAACTGCATACCAAAAATGTTTCTAAAATTCTGAATAAAGAGTTTGAAAATTTGGTGAAAATTAGTCAAATTTTTTAAATTTTTGTATAAAGTTTGAAAAGGGGATTTATATGGTGTTTGTTGTATAGCTAGCCAGGCTTTTATAGAAAAATATTAAACATAAAGTAAACCATGGAATAATAGCCAAAACTATTCAAAGTAAGGCGAGTCTATTATTTCTGCCGCCACTGTATGTATGATTTGTAACAAAAATTATTCGGCACATGATATTTCACTAAATGTATATTAAATATCGTTTCATATAAACAAGAAAAAAGAGCCGCAAACAGACATCTTTATTAAAAAATGCCATATTTTTTTTTATCTTCTCTCGAAAAATATATACATATTAAAGGAAAGGTCTTTCAACTAACTTTCCACAATTTGAAAAACGGTTTCTTTAGTTCTCGAAATATTAGCCGCCCCTATTACGGTAATTTTTAGCCAATAGAAACTTGCACAGTATTATACTTAAATGAAATAAGAATCAATAAAAACTGTAGGTATACTCAAAAAAATATTAAAACTTCTGAGAAAAAAGTTTGAAATTTAAATGAAGATGTTTTGAACCTCTTAAGTTTTCTATAAAGTTTTAAACTTGGGTTTATATGGTTTTGAATTTGAGTTGTAATGGTATGACCGGTACTGTATTTATATAATATAATATAATACATTTATTTTTATATATGTAGTATATAACGTAGACAAACACATTTAAGGGATGTCACATGTTAAATAAGTAAAATTTAATTTAATTATTACTTAATAAAATCAAATATAAGTTTGTTGGTCACCATATAACGCCAGGAGAACTTGATGGGTTTGGATTCGCTTATAAACATACAGCTGAGTCAAAAGAATATTTTTATAATAGTGTCGGTTGAAACCCGCGTGTATATGCTAAATAAATAAATTTAATTAAAATAGTTTCTAACAAGGTTTTCGCGAATCCTTCGTGCATCCTGCAAGATTGTAGCATTAGATTCCATGGTCTCATGCTCACCTATATCTATATTGGTATCTTGGGTATAATTTATTTCGGGCATAGGCATATTGTGCAAGTTTCTGAAATTATGCAGCGTAAGACAAGCGTTGATGATAGCGCCCGAATAAACTGGGTTGAAAAGAATGCCGCGATCACTTGACAAACACGCGAATACTTTTTTTAATACACCATTCAATCGCTCAATGCAGTTACGAGCTTGTATGTGGTGATTATTGAAATTTTCTTCGCCCCTAGTTTCAGGATTTCGGTAAGGTGTCATTAACCAAGGCTGAAGGGGGTATCCGGAATCGCCAATAAGCCAGCACGTGTATATGTTCTGCTCATATTGTTGCTGCATTAATTGCCTAACTTTACAATTTTCCCAAATAAATGCATCGTGTGTACTTCCCCCGAAACGTGCATACCCAGCTAAAATATTTAAATCGTAGTCACAAATCAGCTGCACATTTTTTGAAAAGAAGCCTTTGCGATTAATATAGCAATACTCATCCTCCGCAGATGGTTTTTTTTATTTTAACATGTGTGCAATCTATTGCACCTATCACGCCCGGAAAACCAGTAGCATTGAAAAACCTAAAATATGTTTGTTTGTTATGAATAAAAATACTCTGAAAACTTATGTATGTACATTAAAGTGGTCCAAAAATGTTTATAAAAAAATAAGGTCGGATTTTTAATGCCGCCACCCCCTAGGATTGTTATATACCGAAAAAAATATGCCCCTATTTTTTATTTTGAAATAAAAAAAATTAGGGAGTGCTCAAAGCGCTCAAAGTTTTTCATGTCTTTATATGGAGAAAATCCACTTTTCATAGAAATAGTGTAGAATTCTTGAAAATCAATATTTTTCGATCGAAAAACACTGCTTATCTTCAGGAGATTCCCAGTAATAATAGGTAATTGCATACAAAATGGTTAAATAAACAATTGTATATTGATACTGGAAGTCTCCTTAAGAGAACCACAGTTTTCCGATCGAAAAATATTGATTTTCAAGAGTTTTATACCATTTCTGCGAAAAATTGTTTTTTCTCCATGTAAAATACATGGAAAACTTTGAGCAGTTTGAGGACTGGCTAAATATGTTTTGATTTCAAAATAAAAAATAGGGGTAAATTTTTTTCGATCTAGAACAATCCTAGGGGGTGCCGGCAATCAAATTCCGACTTTATTTTTTTGGACCACTCTAATGTACATACATATATCATTACCTTAATTCACAAAGGCCCGAACCAGCAATTTTTTTTATTTTACAGGAGATGCAAAAACAACATAAAAGAGCTTCTTAAAAAGTGGCATTTAACTCCATTATTTTTGGGACTAACACTAAAATTTTTATTGAAGGTATATTTTAATATATACTGCCAAAATCTGTGAAAAACGCAGTTTCGAAAAAAAAGTTTTGGTTAGCGCCTTTGTGAATTAAGGTAACGATATGTATTATTACCTTTGTCGAATTCTATTTTTCATTTCCAAACTAGTTGGAAATTTAATGTATTTCATCATTATCTTATT